GTGGGAATCTGGGATCCGCAGGGTTTTCTTCCAGTTCAGAGTAAGGAGAGTGACAGCATAGCTCTAAGGGTGTGATGTTCTTGCTGTTCTTTACTGTCCTGGTCTTAGCTTCACCCCAGTCTTCAGTGCAGCTGACTGGAAAGCTAGAGATTGTTAAAACCCCCAAAACACAACCATTCTAACACTGGTTCTAGGGAAAATGGTGAGTTGGAGGTTATGCAGCAGCAGTGTGGCTGTGTACAAGGGCAACAAGCAGTGCAGTATTCTCTGCAGAGTAAGGAGGTGCAGGAACCCAAGGGAATTCAGAGGTGGGGATTTATTTCAGAACTGGCTGGCTATTAAAGAAAGCAGAGCTTGGGGATGAGAGACTTCCTTTGCTACTTGGCCAGATAGGGAAATGAAGGTGGTTTAGTCAGTCACAGAAAATGCTTGGCACGAGAGGGAAAGGAATGGTTAAGGTTACACAAGTGAAACATGACAACCTTTGCTTTCATTTTCAAGTCAAATAGCTCAGAATTAGATCTTATCACTCAAGACTTGAATGAATCATGGGGCAAGTATTTTAACTGAAAGAAATAGATCAAATTATAAAGGCAAGCTGCTACCAAGTTCAATGGGAACTCGAAAGAATGAGGAAGACTGAAGAGAGAGATCTGATTAATAGAAATATCATCTGCACCTTAGGGAATGTTGGTGTTCTCAAACACAAATTCCAAAGTCAAGAATATGGTGCTCTACTTTTCTGTCAAGACACTGAAGAGTCTGTCAAGACACTGGGTGTGAGTTCTTTCAGAGTGGGCTAAGTCCCCCAAGATGAAGAGGCTGAGCTGAGCTGCGCCCTCATTTGACTTTGTAGAAACTGTGGGTTATAACTATCAGGTGCATATCAAATAAGCTCACTATTTTGATTTTACATTTCCAGTTCATTTCTTTCATTGATTCTAAATGTCTCTCCCATTAGACTCTCTTTTTTGTAAGTTCATATATGTGGAACAGGAATCAGTCACTGATTACTTTGTAGAAGCTCAACATTCTCTTCATTATTTTGGGTTGTTTTAATCTAAGACTTTGCCCTGGGAATGGGTACACTTTTAATTTGTCTATCAGCTCAGTGACAAGGGCCTTTTCTTTAGTTCTGCTGGAAAAGCCCCATCCAAGGTAAAAGCGATCTGAGCTGTGAGCTTTCTGCAGTTCTAGACAGACTTTTGTTAGAGGATGTTTTCTGATACCTTTTTACAAGGCAGCAAAAAGAATCAGAAATCCTTCTCCTTTATGAATATACAGATGTAAATCAGGAAAACTCAAAAATCCCCAAATTAAATTTGACATTAAACTTGTTTCTAATTGTTTAGTAATTTTTTTAACTGATTACAAGCCAGGGTCTGCTTTCGAGCTCTTCGTAGATTTTTAAATATATATTAAAATCTGTATATATATGACAAGAATCTATATGTAATAAAAATATACATAATAAAAAAATCTACCTGTATGAGTCTGGTTAAGAAACTCTGTATTAAGAATGAAAAAGATCACTGGTACAATAAATGATTAATTCTGAAAGTGTTGATCATTTGAGGACTTTGGGAGTAATTTTAACAAATTTTCACAGGAGTAAAAAAAGTGTTCTGCAGATAGTAGCTGACTGTGTTAATCTATTGTAAATATTGAACCTCTGGAAATTATAGGTGGAGATTTTTCTGTTTGCTTTAGTAATAACTTAAACACCAGTCCCTGATAAGTGCTGTACCAACAGGCCGGATTAGTTTTGGATCTCTGCAAATGCTGAACAACAGCACTAAATTGTGATGTAAAACAGTGAATACCAGCCCTCAGGCTTTCAAATAGGACAGCCCAGGCTTCTGTGTGCTGTGCTGAACCTGCTTTGCCTCCCCAGGCTCTGGGCAAACACTGCTCCAATCCTGCAGTGCTGGCAGGCAGGGAATGGATGCTGTCCTGCAGACTGAGACTGGCAGCCAGGAGGCATCAAGCACTGACTTGGCACTGAGAATTCTCCTAACGGGAGTGGCCACCATCAGGACGTGTCAAGTCAGGCAGCATCCAGTCCTGTGCAGTATGGAGCAGATAGGTGGATGTGGCAGAAAGGCCACAAGAAATGATGGCCAGTAACCAAACACCCATCTGCTCCCACATTCACATCTTGCTCCCATGATCTGTAGTTGCTGCTGTCTCCCTGGTCTTGTGCCAGCAGGAGATGTGGAGGCTGGCTCTGTTTGATTTCTCCTTTGGAGATGGGAGAAGAAACAGAGCTTGTTTGCGTTCCTCTGTTCCCAGTGCTGTGTGACCCAGGCACCTCTTCACTCTGCTTCCAGTGCACTTGCAGCCTCCCAGCTGAGCAGGGGGTGTGTGCCCCTAGCTGGGGGTGTCCCACCTGCTACCTGGGCTCCATCCCCTGCCCAGCACAGCACTTGGGGCATCTTCTGTGGGCGTGACAGTAGATGAGTTCAAAGAACACTCCAAACAGTGGTCTGCTCTCATTCACAGAATTTGATTCATTCTGGAGATATATTTCAAAACTTTTTGACACTGCTGACATCAATGGAGTTCTACAGAAACATTTGTCAGTTTCCTGCCTTCAGTACCTTCTGCCCTTGCAGAAGTTTGTCCATGGGCCTCTGTGGTAACTGGACACTCTGTGGTCTCACCCTCCGTATTTATCTGGCTGGGCTGTGCCCCACTGTTATGGACAGGGTGGCACAGGGCAGGACACTCAGCAGGACTCAGATTTGGGCACAGTCCTGCAGCACTAAGCAAGGAGAGAAGAGCATCTCCAGTGAGGACCTATGGCAGATCTCCCTCCAGACCATCTCCTTTCCCTCAACCCCATGTGGGACAGAATTTTGGTGTGAAAAGTCACCAGAAAGCAGAGGGACTAGTGCCTTCCTGATTGCCCCATCTCTGAAGATTAGACTGCACAGCAACACCTCCCCACTTCAGGTAAATTCTCCTGACTTTCCCTGTTTCTGACAAGTGAAGGGTCTCTTCTTTGCAGGAGACCTATTAGGAATTCCAGCCTTTCCCCTGGAAAATGTCTCCTTAGAGTTGTCCTCACTCTGCCCCTCTTCAATGCCTTGCCCAGCTTTATCTCATAACCAGCTATGGCCAGCCAGCATCTGGGTGTGCTGGTCTAAACAAGATAGAAATGCTAAACAGCTATATTTCTTCACATCTATAATTTAGGAAAAGTGAAGCTGCACTTCATGACCACTCTTCAGCCTTTGATGTATTCTGATGTACCCTGTATACTTGCAATTTTTCCCCCATATCATTATAGGATAATACTAAGTGTATGTTAACATAAGAGCTTCCAAAGATGTTTGAGAGACTTGCTTGTCCCTCTGCAAAGGGAAACCCTCCCTCTCCCTGACATATGCCTTTATCGCTCCAGAAATTTATTCTTCAAGCCAGCCACTTTCTGGCATTGTTCCTTTTTGTTTATTAGCTATTCCTGACTTTCTGTTGGAGGTAGGAAAATTGGCAAAACACATGGAAAAGGCTTTCCTTGTGTGACAATAACACAAGACGAGGCAGGGCAAGAGAGACATTTAATTAATACTTTTAACAGATGTTGGTCGTAAATGAAGGGGTATAATTCATTTGCATGTACCCATGCCTTCAGATGATGAATTAAAGGGAGAGTTTTGGCATTGCTTTTATACTGATGTGCTCTCCAGTCAGACTTAATGTGCCTATGAATAAAGCTCACTAAACTCCATTAGAAGAAAACTTTAAAAAAAATCCCCAAACTATCCCTAAATTGTCGCCCTGATTCTTAAGTTTTTCTAAAGCCTTCTGAGTTCACATTCTGTTGGAAAACTTTCCCACACAATTTCTGTAAACAACATATTGATTTGCATTCCTTCATGGGGGTGGAGAAACTTGATGTACTAGTGGTTTGTCCAATGTCTTTGGAGAGGTGGCCCATTCACTCTCCAATCCACTGTCACCTTTAGAAAAGTATAAAAGTTGGAGTCAGAAAATAAACTTTCTCTTTTACCTTGCAAAATAGCAGGTGGCTCGCGTTGTGCTTTCACGTGTCCTATAACAACACTAAATAAATGAATATATATATTAATTTATGTGGTTTTTCAAAGACTTGGCTTTCCATCTTGCTTTTTAGAAAATTATTTCTTATGTTTTCCATGTTTGATCTCTGAAGTGAAGCCCTTCACCTTTACTCAGATGAGAAGTGCTTGGCTGTGGTCCTGCTCCATGCAGAAGCATTCAAGCAGCCCAGAGATTGGTTTGGCCCCTAGAAATTTTGCTATAACTAAATATTTGTGAACATTTAGGTGACTCTTTGATCTGCCATAGATATATAAATGCCAGGAAAATGGTCTGAAATCAGTCTGGATGAAAGGCTAGGGCACATCTCCAATATACACTGAGTTTGTACTCCAAGAGATGAGTTGTATAATGCCAATCTGGATGTTGCTGACACAACCAACCACCTGCTCTTTGAGTTTGTGAAAGCAGGACCCTCTGGATAGAGGAAGACATGGTAATTCTTGTCATGCAAAGTTCATACGGTTTTTCCAAAATGCAGAACCGAGAACACATTTCAATGTGCCCAAGAGATTTAATCCAGTTTATGCCTTGCTCTGAGTCCTGTTGGGAATCACAGAGCAGAAATTGTTTGCAGCTGTCCCCACTTCCTGGGGACACGTGGCCAGTTTTGCCTTCCTAAGGGGTAAAATAATGAATTCCTTTTTCTCTTGCTGTATTTTTAACATGTCCTTCTTTAGACAGATGAAAAATCCAAGAATTCTAGGAAAATCCCAACACATGTAGGGGAATGGGAGGTCAGGAGGGCAGCAGTTGTACTTGAACAGACTGAGTTGCTGGGGGCTGAGCTCTCTTTCTTTCTCCTAGACTAAAAAAATCCTTTCTTCTCTGTGAGAATAAATTCTTTTGAATGAACCCTCCCCTCCTTTTTTCTTTGTGGTTGTTACAAAGACAGTAACTGTTCTCACAAGCAGTCCCACAGTCATGGGTTTGGGTACGTAATGGCTAAAAAAGGTTTTGCAGGGAAAGGAAGCACAAGTACAACCTGCATTAGAAACTATTTCCATATTTGTGCAATAGGATTGCAAGAACGAGGCATCTCCATGCTTCACGGCTGAAGGGTGAGTTGCTCATCTGCAAAAAGTTCTCCCTTCCACTGACAGAAAGCTCTTGAGCTGTTGTATGCTCCTGAAATACATTTCCAGGGGATATTACTGAATGTAATGGTGCTGGACTCAGCACTGCTGGCTTCTCCTTTCCCTACTGGTCTGGGCAAGTAATAGGTGCTGTAAACCCTATGGATGATGCTTAAAAACCCCTCCAAGGCATTGTGTTGATCATTTTTCTTCCCAAGATTATTTTTAATCCCTATTGTTATTGCAGTCCAGCTCGGAGTGTATCCCTACAGTGAAAATTAGGGGGCAGAAAGGATTATTGGCTGCAGGAAGAGGTGGCAGAAGCAACCGTGGGCACAGAGAAATGCCTTGCAGTGCTGACTCAGTGGGAGGTGTTAGGACTTCGGTCTGTGCCCTCTGACCACATTCACACCGCATATCCTGGAGTGCAGAGCCGGGGAGTGGGAGAGGGGTACAGCATTTCAGTAGCTCCTGCCCAGCAAATCCACCCTGAGGTGCACCTAGGACTGGAGGACTTGTCTTTGCCTAGAAGGGAACTTGTCTGGGTCAGCCTCGGTGGGTGAGATATTGCAATACGCTGCCGTGCATGGGTGCAGAGGCTGCCCAGCCATGGCAAGTCTGGCACCCGGGGGCATTTGGTGCTGGGGCTGGGGTACTTGTGCCTGTTCCTTGTAAGCACTGAGGGAGAATGGAAAATAAAGTGAGTTCTGACGGTGAGAAACGGGGACAAAAAAAGGTTGTGCTCTTCAGGAGTTTAAAAACAGCTTGAAGAATGATGCTTATGGAGGAGGGAGGAGGAGTGGGGAGACATCTGTGCTTGTTTATTCATTAATATTTCTATTGGTCTTTATTATATTTAGATCATGCTAGATGATGACAGAAAACTATGCAAGAAGTGTTTTGTGTTTAGTGATGATCTGAAGAGCAGGAATGCTCTGTGCAGCTCCTCCTGGCCCAGATTCCATGGCACACATTTGACACTGTTGATACAGCTCACAGTGCACTGTCATCTGATGGAGGTGTAAGCTCAGTTTTCTGCTCAGTTATTTTTTTTATTTTATTTCACTAGCAGGCTGTTATCAGACAGGAGCAAAGGGAAATCAAACATAATTAAGCACTGCAAGACCTCTGCCCTTCTTGAGATGACACAGGGAAGTTCTTAATTTCATTGACAACTAAATAGACGCAATGTTTCTCATATTTCTAAACAGTCACTGCACTGAAAAAGGTTCAATTCTGAAATAAAGGAATTAATCTTAGAGCTGGTGTTTGAAAAACAATGGGGTGTGTATTTGATGTTTGGAAAAACACCAAGCTGGGACATTGTTATACCCATTTTGGGTTCCTTTATAGCTTAGAGAGGCAGAAAACCAGAACCAGCATAGTGCTTCTTAGAAAGCCTATCAAAGGCATCAGGTGTACAATGTCATTTCTGTAAACTGCCTTAATATAACTTTCTATAACAGTTGTGTTCAAGGATAATTTTGTCTTAACCTGCTTTTCTTTTTCCCTGGTCTGATGGGAGAATTCATTGAATGAAGAGAGAGGAAGGAAACAAAGCTGGTGGTCTCAGCAGCTTCTGCCTGTGCTAGCTGTGGTGCTATTAGATAAGAGCTAGATTAATGGGTCTCTTCTGACATGTGAAAATGTAATTTTCTTTGTGCTGTGTCCTGATGAATTCTGCAGGTTTTTCCCCCACAAAGAACTCACTCTGGTGTTTATAATAGTTCATTGGACTGAGGATTGATCAGAAGCCTTAAATGCACAGGCAGCATTCTGCAGAACCCATCCCCAGATAAAATATCAGTGTGCAGAACAGATCTAGAAACCTTTTATACTTTATCACATCCTTTACCCTCTCAGAGTGTTTTTCACGCAGGGTCTCAATGTTGTGGCCATAAGTCATTCTCTGTGGCTGACACATGCTATCCAGAGTCTGTGTAGGATTATGTACACAGGGATATGTACCCTGGAATGCTGCCTGTGCTCTGGTGTGACACAACAGCCCAAGCAGAGCTTTGGTTTCTCCTGCAACATCAGCAAAGGGGATGTGCCCTGGCCAAAAGTAGATGCCCTGGGGGTAGTGGATTTGTGGACTGTTGACTGTTAGTGGGCTATTGTCCATCCATTCAGCTCCCAGTTCCCTTATCTCTCACATTTGTGTCTCTACTGGCTTTTCCTACTTCCTCTTAACTCTGTTCCTGGAAAAGGGTGGGGTGGGAAGAGAAGTGCTCCATTAAAACTATCTCCACTAATTTCCATTTCCACAGTGCATATGCTAACAGCAGTCCTGGGTGTTGTCAATATCAGACTAAATCTCTGCTTTGTTCAGTTAGAACAAACCTGGGCTGCCAGATACCATCCCAAACTGCCACATCAGCAAGGACTGAACCTGGCCAGAGGATCAAGAAATAAGATTTTCTAGGTTCTGGAAAAGTCAGTATGTTGGATCAGATTCATTGGCTGGCTGCTGTGACAGTCCTGGGAGTCCTGGAGCAAGGTAGGGGCCATTGGATGAGTGAATTCAAGTACTGGCTGGATCAGTCTATTGTAACTCCACTGATTTTCTTTTGCTTTTAATTTTAATGTCTCCTTTTGCACTGGCACTTCACGGCTTTTCAGACCATGAACTGATATCTTGTTTGTGTTCTGGAAAGCATTCAACCAAATGAGTGCATGAGAAGCCCTTTCTCTGAACTGACCTACCCCCTCCATTCAGAATTTTTTTGGTAGGTCTTCCCCTCTGCAAACATGCAGAATTACCCTCTTTGGGCTTACAGCAGCTCCTGAAGTGCATGTAGATGTGAGCATACAAAGATTTCTGCTGTGTGAAAAGGTGGAAGTATGGGCTGTGGTGGGTCACATGGAACATCTCCCAGCCATGGGTCCACATTGCATGACAATTTAATTCAGTGGCTGGTTGGCTTATCTGTGGCATCAGTTCCACCCCTACATAGATATCAGAATTTAGAAGAGGCAAAAATTAAAAGAATGAAAAAGCCTTGGAGTTGTCAGTAATAAAGTACATATGAACTGTGTAACAATTTTGCCATCTGCTGATTATACAAGAAAGCAGATTAACACTGGTAGTACATGATTGTATATTCCTTGCTTTACTGTAGCTCTGGGTCATTCCTATTCCTTATCTAAAAGGTACCTGGGATTTTGTTCTAACTTTCTGCGCTGTGTGGGGGTGTGGGCTTGAGAGGAGATTGCGGATGTTTTTCCCCAGCCTCCGGCCAGCTTCTGACTCCACTGTGTCCAGCCATAGGACTGACTGCTGCTACTTTTCTCTCTTTTCCTGCAGCCTACTTCTTACTGCAGGTGATCTATGCTAGGAGGTTGTTTGGCATTTCACCTCCAAAGACCTCAGGCCCTCCTGAATTTGAAAGGATCTTTCGAGCACAGTAAGAAACTCCTCTTACTTGATGTTTGTCAGATCTCATGTAACCACACTGCCTTTCCTCTGCTTCGCTATTCCTTTCCTGGAACTGTAATCAAGCAATTACCTCCCTTGAGGTTAATCAATGGGTTGAAGAGTCAACATCAGGACTGGGTTGGCTTTTGAGTCCTAAAGCAGCCATTGCTGATAGGAACTACACGGGAATCTCTGTTGTACAGTGAAGGGCTCTTAAAGACATAACCTTTGATGCCTGAGACTTAGACTAGTTTTATCCAAGTGGTACCAAACTTCAGGTAGCTTCAGCCCTGCTCTGAATCTCACTCACTGGGAAGGACAAGTTCCCAGAGAGAGCTCAGCTGGTGCTGGGATAAGGATAACCCCTCATGTCTGCTGTGACTTCTGCACTTGGGCTGCAGCGGGAAGGGAGGAGCTTTCATGTTGTAGCTGACCACTAGGAAAACAAGTAACTGAGTAGCTTGAGCTGGATCCCCTCAGCCATCTCCTTCTTTGCTCCTTCACTAGCCTAGACTCAGCTTCATCCATCATCTTTTGGTGCCTTTGGGAGGACAGGGCATGGCATACAAACAATCCCAACAGTTACGTGCTCCCTCCAACTCCTGCACAAAGCCAGGCTGCTCTGGCCTTATGTACTTGAGGGGCAAACCTTCCCTACAGCTTGGGGCTTTGGGGCATTGACAGCAGGGTTTGAGCTGCAGCACTTGGGAAGCAGTGGTGGGAGTGGTTCGTTTCTGTGCAGTCTGACCTGAGAATCTTTTACTTAATTTCTTGTAACCTGGAGGCCCTGTTCTTTCCATTGTTTAATTTCTGCGAATAATTCTGGGACAGGAACTGGACCCTGGAGGCTTTTTATGACAACATTAGTTCTAAAAAGCAAAAGCCTTGAGTGTCTGGAAACTGCTAGGGGAGGCAAAAGAAGGAGTGCTTCCTTCCTTTCTCTAATTTATGACCTTTCTCTTTCCTGCCAGGGTGAACTCCTCTGAGTATTTCCCCATCTTCCTGGCAGTTCTGTGGCAGGCTGGACTCTTCTTCCACCAAGGTGAGAATATCCCATTACCTGTTTTGTCACTGGATCTGTTCCCCTGCCTGCTGCCTCAGTCCTCAGATCCTGCTTAACTTCTGAACAACAAATTAAACAGTAATTCTGTCTCTGATGGGAGGGTAGAGCCAGATGACACAGAGTGTCTATTCCTTAACTTTGGGCTACCTCCTTGGTTCCAAGTAGCTCTGAAAAGCCTTTGGAGATGGTCACTGTGATCTCTGCTAAACACAGGTCTGGCTGCAGCCTTGGGTCTGCTCTATCTCTACGCCCGCTACTGCTACTTTATGGGATACAAGGCATCATCCTCAGAAAGGTAAACACACTCACACTCACTCTTGCATGCTCTTACACACAGCTACACACTCTTGCACACTCTTATACACATACTCTTGCAGAGACTTACATGCTCTCATACACTCTTACACACTCAGACACACACAGTCACACTCACAGAGTTACATACTGTTACACTCACAGTTACACACTCAGTTACACACTCAGTTACACACACAGTTACACACAGTTACACACTCACGGTTACACACACTCACAGTTACATACACACACAGACTCACACAGTTACACACACACACAGAGTTACACACATAGTTACACACACACACAGTAGCACTCAGGGGACCATATGGTAACCCCTGGGAAGTTGTTTTTGGAAACATAATGTACTTTGGGAAAGATCAAGACTCTTGAGTGCTCTGGGGCTCCTGCATGACTCAGCCTTGTCTCCAAGCCATAACGGGATACAGAGCTGGGGCAGCAACACAGATTCTGGGCAAGGCTGGAGCTGCCCCAAGCCCTTTTGGGTGTGTGTGTTTGCTCCCTTGAGGTGGAAGCAGGGCATGGGACTCCACGCAGGGGGCAGGGGACAGCCAGGGATGCCTTTCAACCCAGTTCTGCAGGGAGGAGGGGGCTGTTCCCAGGCAGGAAGCTCGGGGTCAGCAGCTGCCTCTCTCCCCCCAGACTCGCCCCGATATACTTCAGCGCTGGAGTTCTCTGGATTCTCATTGCGGTGTCAGCCCTGGGCATCCTGTGTTTCTTCCTCTCTCACTATGTGGGGCTGAACATCTTCCAGCGTCTCACAGCATGACCCACTCCTCTGTGCTTCGTCACTGTCCTCATCTCCCAGTCCTGCTCCCTCCTGCTCACCTTAACAGACTGGCTGCAACTCAATAGCCCTCAATGAGAAATCCACCCTCACCCGAGCTTCCAACACCTCCTTCCTCACTACCCAGCACTGGCAGGAGCGACTGAGCACTTTAGGAGGTACTTTTCCCTGCACTTTGTGTGCCAAGTGCTCCACATCTGGTGGCTCCGCTGGGACTGATGCAGAAACAACAACCCCAAACAAGGACATATAAAAGCAAACTCTTCTCAGTCTGAGTTTCCCAGTGAGTTGCCAAAGGGAAATGCCAAGTGTTCCCCATTATACAACGGCTCTGCCCTCAGCCCAGGCACAGATTCACGCCAGCTTTCCAAGCCCACACCTAAGGAAGGCATTTGTTTGGAACCAGATGTGGGCTGAGACATAACAAAAGAGGTGACAGATAAACTGGAGTAGCTACCAACAAGTTGTGCAAAAGTCTGTTGGTGCCCTCCTGCTGGTTATCAGCCACTGCTGTAAATCGGACTGTGCAAACTCATGCCACTGCTGCGTGTGCCACTTCAAACTCAGCCCAGTGACAACAGGCTTAAATAAAAGGTCACTAAACTTGCTGTGCTGGGTGTCTCTTTGTGAGTCTGCAGCTAGCAGAGAACAGAAACATGAGTGTGTTTGTGCAAGGTGGCTGCCTTTGTTTCCCTGACGTGCAATCCAACAAAGCCTGCAACCCTGTGTGCCATGGGAGGAGAGCTCTGAGGAGGGAGAAGCTGATTTTTGGAGATGTTGAGCTCAACATCTCCAAAAATTTGGTACTGATTGGGTACTGAGCCACTCAGCACTGAAACCCCCAGTGCTCAGGTCCCTCCTGCATCAGGAGGAGCTGAATTTTCATGAGTCCAGAATGCACAATACTGATGCTTTTGCCCACTGGTGCCGTCATGTTAGTGCCACAGGAAATGCCAGCAGTGCTCCATGTGTCATCATGGGGGGAATTCACACCAAATCCAGAGAGTGAAAACAATTGCATGAGCATGATGCCAGTCCAACCACATTGTAAAGCCCATTGCTGTGTCCTTTTCCCAGCAGCAGGCATATCTTGACTGTAAGAACAACAGGCAGGGACTTTTTGGAGGAAATTATTAATTTTTCACATTGTTTCTTTGCCTTCCATGCATTTTAAATTGGCTTCTCCAGCAAGGTCCCCAGTCAATTTCCCTTTCAGGCTTTCCTGCCTTGGAGTCATGCTGCTGCATTGAAACGGGCAAATGCTGTAAAGGTAAGGCTTAAAGCCAAACAAAAATAACTGTATGACACTTGTCTCTGCAAAGCTTTCAGTGTAGAAGGGCCCCATCTTCATCAAAATCCTCAGGTGTCACAGCAAGATAAACAATAACTTTTTCTCCTGGCATCTTTGGAGACACATTTCAGAAAAGTCTGAGCATAGTTTAACCCTGGCTGTGCCTTAGCAAGGTCAGGGAGGAACAGATTTCACAGTGAGATTTCACTTAGCTTTTGCATTAACAGGTCCTACCATCTCCTGAATTTGTTCCCCAGTCCTCACCTTTTTACCAGTCACCTCCCAGAGAGTTAATGCAGAAGGACCAGCCCCAGTGGCTGGTGGAGGTCCTGACTCCACATCAAAACTCTGCTTTCTGCAGTTAGTCCAAGTGGGTGTTCATTGGTTCTGTAGACACAATCTCTGTCTTTTATCCTACAATCAGTTTTCCAAACCCACTGTATCAACCTGGAGCCACTGCCCACCTCAGCTCCGCTTGTGTCTGCTCTGTGTGTGACAGGGCCGCAGGATGACTCAGAGGAGGGAAATTAATGATTCAGCAGTGAGATTGTAGCCGGCTTCTCCCCTTGGATGCACAGAAGACCATTAAAAATCCTGGCACGGCGCAGTCAGGCTCTGGCCTTGGTGGCTGCCATCACCAGTTCTGCCACAGAAAATCTGATGGGCACATCATCAGCCCTTCAAGCTACTGTCAGAGGGGCCATTTAAGTGCCCTGAGCAGAAGGGAAGCTGCTCCTGTCCAGCAGGGCTGCTGTCATTGCTCTGCTGCTTCATCAGTCAAAGAAAACCACTTTAAACCGATCGGTGGTTCAAACAGTTGATGATTTTGGGATTTACTCAATTCATGCTGCTGCTGCCCAGCACATTGTGCTGGTGCCGTATGGCACCAGTTTGCCTGCCTGAACCTGCTGCAGAAGTGCTGCGGGCCGGCTGGGCTGGCACAGGGTGCTGGGGGGCTGCACCTGCCACGCCGGGTCACCATCCCTCAGGTGTGAAAGCCACCCCGTGAGCATCACTTTAAAGGTGATCCAGCCGCCAGCGGCATTGCTGCGCTCCCGTGGGCTCTGCTCCAGCGCTGAGAGGGACCGTCCCACCGCTGCCCCTCCACGGGGGCCAGGCTAGGCCGGCAGCCCCGCTCCCGTCGGGATTCCCCGGTTCCTCCCGGGATTGCTGTCCCCGCTCCTACCGGGATTTGTGCCCGGCCCCGCCCTCGCCAGCCGCGGGCCACCAGCGCCCTCTCCCGCCGGAGGCGGGAGAGGGCGCTGGTGGCCCGCGGCTGGCGAGGGCGGGGCCGGGGGCGTCCGGGGGCAGCGAGCACTGACGGCCCCGGGGCACTGACGGCACTGACGGCCCCGGGCCCGCCGCGTTTGGCGTGCGGTATTTGGAAGTAAATCCACTCTGATAATGCCACAGGCTCCCAGGATAAGCAGGCAGCCAGATAGGAGGCCAGCAGAGAGCAAAGGAAACCCGCAGAACCAGCGAGAACTTTTTTATCACAAGAGGTACAGAGGCTGAAGTTGTAAACAAGCCTCTGTCCGCGGCGGGGCGGGTTCCACGCGAGTGACGGTGGAGGTGCAGAGCTGTGTCCCCGGGCAGAGCAGCTGCCGCCTGCCGCAGGCACCGCCGGAACGCTGGTGCTGCCACCGCCGTGTTCCCACCGCCGCCTGGATCCCAGCCAGGCTCCTGGAAGGTTTTTGGAGCAAGGTGCAGAATTTTGTAGTTTATTATCTTGAAAACTTCAAGGACACCCATGTGTACTTCCCTATCCGCGATGTGCTGGCCCGTGCCGGATACGGTCTGGTGCGGGCAGCGGCGGCTTTACAAGTGGCCACCAGAGCGAAATATTGTGCTCTGGCGTGGGCAAGAACAGCACCCCCAAGCCCACGGAAGAGCACCCCAGTCCAGCCGCAGCACGGCTTGGTGGGACGGATGGAGGACACCCTTGGATTTCCCCGGGAAGCAAGGCTGCTAACTTTCTTTGGGAGAGAAACTCCCGTGGGGCCGGGAAAGGAGGATGCAGCTGGTGGCCCCGGCTTTGTGGCACTGGCATGTCAAGCAGGTTTCCATAGCACCAGCATCCATAACACGGGGCCGAGGGGAGGGAGAGAAGTAGGTCAGACAGGGCTAACAATACCCAGACGTGTCTATCTGTGGCTCAGCCTGACCCAGGAAAGGGGTGAAACGGAGAAGAATGGGAGAGAGAAAGAAAAAAAAAAAAAAGAAGAAAATAAAGTATCCAAAGTATCCACAGTCTGAGCAATGCATTTCTTGCCTTCAGAAAAATAAGGCCCTTTTAAAGCCACCTTTGTGTATCAGCGCTGAACAACCGAGACTAGCACCCACCTCCTGCCCATCTGACAACGGGCTACAAGGGAATTCAAATGCTAATTTGGAGCCAGACTTCTCAATGGGCCTTTATTTCTGCGGCAGCACCAGGATCAGAGCTCTGAGGAGCCAGCCTGCAGGAGCTGTGAGGATGCAGTCTCCAGAGCAGGACTGTGGGACACTTCCCTTTCCCCTCACCGTTCCTCACTGTCACTTAGTTACCCCTTGTCTTAGTTTTACTTATTTATGTGCAAATAACTTCAAGGGCAAGGAAAAAGAAAGGCGAGCACATGGAATTGTGTGAGTGAAATGCCCCTGCTAGTGACCCGTTTTATGTGCTGAGTCTGCAGTGGCCTCCCTGTCGTTGTCACAGCATTTTGGGGGTTGCCTGCTTTGCAGTACGGTTTTGAGCTATGTCCATCAATGCCAAAAGTAGGAAGAACATTATGGGCAGTGAGATCCAGAGCCCTCTTGATCTGAGTGTTTGCTTGGATCACAGATCTGGGCACACAGATCTGCTGGGTGTGTAACAGAGCAAGGTCAGGGGAAGGACTGCTTTGCTCAGGGGGAATTGGAGAGTGTGGGTGAACAACCCTCAGTGGAGAGGCTGACATGGACTGGGGTGAAGTGTGCCTGTGGCTGACCTGTGTCATACCTCTGCCTGGAGAACACCGTGCTTGGCTTAACCATCACCCCCACAGCACCATGGAGTAGGTGCAGCAGTGGATGCAGGCACAGGGTGTTTCAGACAGGCCAGTGAGAGCAGACCCCTCACGTGCAGGCAAGTTCTTCCCTTACATTAACCACAGGCCACAACCCAGTGCAGTAAAAACCGTTCCTGCACTTGATAGTGGGGTAAAGTCTAAGCAAAACCAAAGCTATCTGCAACTTTGTATGTCAGCAGGTCAGGAGGCCAGAAAATCCACACTCTAAAGTTAAAATTTGCCTCATTCCCATCAGTTTTCTACCGCCCAGCAATTATCACTTGTAAGAGAGCTCCAAGAATTTACCTTTCCCCAGGTAAGGGCAGAGTCACAGTTATATATGATGGACAGGGCTTAAGATGGTCCTTTGTGAATGCCCTCCCTCCAAAGGAAAACTGACCACCTGCTGTGGAACCTTAGGGAAGAGCATGCCCAGCTCCAGCCCCCAGCGCTGCTGTGCCAGACTCTGTGTTCAGGGACTAAAAGTAAAAGTTATGTGGGAAGAGCCAAAGGGTCAGCACTCAGGAGGACTCACAGAGCACTTCTGGAGTGAGAGAATGAAAGAAGACCTGTGCCTGAGCACATGCATCAGCTGTGTTGCTTTGATGTGACACTGGTTGACAAGAGAAAGCTGTGTGACCCCATATTACTAAGGCATCATTGCCTGGAAGGGGTAGAAGTCAGAGATCATCACTCCAGTGAGGTCAAAGCCAGTGAGCTGTTGTGGTCTCTGCTTCCGAGCCTGCAGTGGGCAAGTGGCTAAAACAGGCTCCATTTCATGAATGTGCTTGGCCAGGATAACAAGAGCTCAGGACTGCTACCGCTGAAGTGCCGAGGTGCTGTGAATGTTCTGCCTGAGTGAAGAAACCTTCCCCGGGAGCAGCCTGATGAGCTGAGCACGGCGCTGCTCAGCCAGATGGCTCCTGGACCAGAGCTGACTCATGCCCACAGAGCTCAGGCAGCAGAACTGGCAGATACCTGCAGCATGTTGTGGGAGACACCTCACCCCAGCTGGCCCTGCACTCACAGTGGGGCAGCTCCAGTGGTAAAAATCAGGTGTTATGCCCACTGCTATAATTATAATGCTGCAAAACTGAAATGGTGTCAGGCCTGGGTTCCAATGACAAACAGAGAAGAGCCAGGCTCGTGAACTCTTCTGAGCCCTGAAAGGGTGCAGCCATAGAGAGAGCAGAACTCTACCCTCTCACAGTGGCAAAGGATGGTGAGCATAAGCTGTGGATAAACTGATGGCACAAAGGGAAGGGTGATAGCTTCTAACAGTGCAGCAGAGGCTTCAGAGAGAACAAGGGACTTGGGTATCTGCTTTCCACTAAAATTGTGTTTATAAACCTCCCCAACTGTTTTCCAGCTTGGCTTCTTAGTGAATTACAGCTTAGGAAGGTTGGACAACATGAGCTATATCCAATCCATGCTGCAGTGCAGAGCACCATTTTCAGAGAAATGAATAAAGGTAAAAAACAAAGGTGAAAAGGAAGAAAGGTGAAGTGTAGCCAAAAATCCTCTTAAATTGTCCAAATCAGACATGGGAGGGAGACTGCACTGGCAAAGCTGTGAACAGGCAGCATTAGTGAGTGATGAATGTGGCCATGTTATCTAATATGGCAGAATACCCATCATGCATTTTTAATTGTTTTGCTTCTATTTATCACAGTGTCACAGCTAGAGGCTGTTTCAAAAGGCATGGGGAATAACAGAAAGGCTATAATTGGATGGTAGGGCTTTTGACTGGAGGTCACACACACAGAGAAACATACAAAGCATCAGTAGTATAAGACTTCCATGTGTTCCCTGTTTTCAGAGCCTACACGAAAAACAAGTCAGCTGCAGCAGTTTACTGAGAGTTAATCAGGTTTGCATATTAACCATAAGATCATGAATTATAGGTGCTTATATGCAAACCTGAGGCACATGTAACACACGTAGGTGAGACATGAAAAATGAACTCTGTGATGGCAGCAGCAGAAGAAATGGGTAACAGCCAAGGAGGAAAGGGAAGGCATATACAGTGACGATGGACTGAGTTCTGTCACCTCTTCAGAGCAGGTATTTAAGTTCTGATCAGTTCTCCCATAATGGCAAATGCTGATCCATTAAAGAATTGCTGGCAACTGTTTTTTGCATTGCAACAATATCTCCAAAACCTACTCAGAAATGAGCATCTGCTTCACTCCCAGACACACAAAGTGTCTCCATATGCTTGGATGACTGTGGAACCCTCAAACCAGAGTTGCAGATTTTCTCCATTATTTTCTTGCCCTGGAAAGAAGTGTAAGCAAAATAACAAAGAGAGGCTGGTATAAACCAGAAAATTCTTGAGCAGGTAGCAGGTTTCAAGAGCTTTACTTCAGTCCAGCTTAACACTCCACACGTGTGCTCAGCTTTATGCATCTCTCTGCAGGCTGGACTGGGGCTCCTCTCCATGAACCTGTAGGGAATTTGGGATGTTGCACAGAGGCTGTGACTATCCAGCAGATTTTTACTCTGGAGGCCACCTTGATGTCTCAGGTTCTAGCTTTTATATTTTTCAGATTCTGTACTGCTTTAGTGTGTGGGTCTGAGCTTCATATTAGGGGATGGTGAGCTCTCTTCACAGACTAGGTAGACAAAACAATTCCTTCTCTAGCTGGAGACCAAGCACAAATGATCCAAATTTCAGGCCCAGGAGCATAAACAACATAGACTGAAGAGAGATAAACAAGCAGGATGGGACTTCATAACCTAAGGCTATACCTGGACAATTAAGTCCAATATGCAAATCGAGCAGAACTTGTAAAAGTGAGAGACCCCTTGACCAATCATCTATTTTGTGACCATTTTGGTTCATCTTGGGTGTAGCCCTGGCTGGGCTCTTGTACTGCCCAAGGTGTATCCACTGAGGCCTTCTAATAAACACCTACTTTATTCTTTAACTCTCTCTAGTTTCTGTTCTCGGTTAGCCTTCACAAGGCATCAACCTCTGAGGAAAAGGGCTGCTCTGTTAGCAGTAATTCCATTTGAATTGTTAATTATTTTTGTCTTTCAAACACAGCATATACATTGGCTAATCACAAGTCTTCTGAGAACTATTTATGTCTTTGCTTGCCCCTGCTGCTTACAGTCACATTCCTCCCCTGGAAGTGGCTGTGCCAAACTTACTGTGGGTTATGTCAAAGAAAGGCTGAGTTTTTTCTTAAGATTAGTAGCAGTTACATATTTGCAGAAAGAAGTCATATGACCTTTCTCCTAACACTGGAAGGATATCTAGAACTTCTTGTCAGTGTGAACACAGGATGATTTTCATTTCCTAAGAGACCTCTAAAGATAGGTCTTACATCAGAATCCTGTTTAACTAAATAAACATAAGATCAAGAAAATATTAGACAAATCAGGCTTCATTTCTCACTGTAAATTAGATAGCAAGAGAACAGCCATTACAGCTCTCTTTAACGCCATTTAATCATGTGGATCATGATTCATAAACAACAGAAAACCTATTTTCTGTCCTTTTTCAAATGCAGCAACGGGGACTAAAAATACCAATCAGTACTAATAAAATGACACATAGTAAATGTACCCCAGTGTATGACTATTAATACACACCATAAAAAGCCAACAATTATCATTATGTCACTGCTAGAAACGCAGAGGCCTCAACAGGGATTAGCAAAGGGATTTGCTTTACCCTCACTAACACTGGGCCAGAAACAAAGCTGGGGGTCGGTGCCACACCTCCACGGCTCTAAGGTCACCTCTTATCTGTTCAATCCCACAGCAAGGCTCCCTTGAAGCTATTTTAACCTGAAGTTTCTTCAGCTCGTGATACTTTGTGGAGATATTTTGCGTTCTGGTTGGGAGAGCGTGGTCTGAGGGCGCAGGGGAACATGCGAAGCGGCCGCTCCCAGCGCCACTCGGGGGTCCCAGAGGCAGCTCCGGCACCGAACCCCCTCCGGCAGCGCCGAGCGGGACCGCTCAGCCCGGCTGGGCCCCCCGGCACAGGGACCCACGCAAACAGCCCCAGCAGTGCAGGAACCCCTGCGCCAAAGGCAACCGGCCCCAGCAGTGCCGCTCAGCCCGGGATGCGCTCCCCACGCCCCGGCTGCCCCACAGCGGCCCTCGAAGGCGCGGGGCAGCCCTCGAGGCCTCCGCGGCCAGGCCCCGCCGTGCCCGGCCCCCGCCGCGGCGGGAGGCGGAGCCGAGCCCTGCTGACACCGGCGGCGGGCGGTGCTGCAGTGCGCGGAGCCGCCGATCGCCGCCGGAGCCCCGTGGCTGCAGCTCGCCGTGAGCGGGGGTGCTGGGGGAACGGAGACGAGTGGCGGGCGGCGGGGCGGGCGTGGGAGGGAGGGACAAGGCCGCCGCCATGTTCGGGAACCGGGGAGCAGAACGGGCGGGGGCGGCACTCGAACCGGAGCCGAGACCGGCGGCCGGGACTCGAACCCGGGTCCCTGGGGACTCGAGCCCGGGTACCCTGGCGGGTGCGGGGGACACAGGGGCTCGCGGGACCCCCGGGGCGGTCGCGCGCTTCCCCCCCTCCATTATTCCTCCCCCCCCGCACAGCGCGCGCGGGGGGCCGGACGTGACTGGCTGCGTTCAATTTGTCACGCGGCCATTGGCTGGTGGGGGCGGGCGGCGCGTGACGTCAGCGCGCGGCGCTGCGCGGCCGGCGGCCATTTATAGGCGCGGAACGGGCGCTGCGCAGACGGAGCGAGCGGGCTGTACCGGGAGTACCGGCGGCTGTATCGCGGCCCATCCCCGCGGGAGTGCTGCGAAACCCCCCGCGGAGCCCCGATCCACCTTCTCCGAGCGCCCCTTCGGCCGCCGCTGAGCTTTTGTTTCTGTTCGCGCAGCGCCCGAGCGCCCCCACCCAGCTTTGTTCTTCTTGAGGCCCCTGCGGGGAAGGCGCGGCCAAGATGGATCCTTGTCACACCGAGGAGACCGAGGGCGAGATCCCCGGCTTGGGTAAGGCCCAATGGCGGCGGGCAGGGAGGGGGTGGCGGGAGGGAACGGGGGGAGGGGAGAATGGGCGATCGCACCCTCATGGCGCCGCGGAGGCCTCACGATGGGCGGGGGAGGGGAGGCGGCGGGGCCCGGCCCGGCCGCGTGCGCCGCTCACCCCCCCCGGCCGCGTGCGCCGCTCACCCCCCCCGGCCGCGTGCGCCGTGCCGGGCGGGGCCGCGGGGGCTCCTCGGGGTCGCTGTCCCGCCTCCACCGCCGCTGCCGCGCCCGCGGGTCCCTCCCCGTGCTGGGGCGGGAGGGGGGGTGGGCGTGAGATCGGCAAACGAGATAAGCGTAAATTACAGTTTATTACAGGTCTAACGTCCAGCCTTAAATAGCGTAAATCCGGTGGAAACGGCCACTCAGTAAAGCAGAAGTTGAAAGTAAAGGTTTTTGGACGCCATAACAGTCTCGTCTTAAAATGGTGAACCCGTGCCAGTTATTGCAAAACAGCCCTGCTCAGCGCCTGCTATCTGTTTACTGGGTGTTGGCCTCTCGCTGAGCTCCCCCGTGGGGACAACCACTCGAAAGGCAGTATGACTTCAAAATCTTTATTAAGCAGCAGAGAATATACAGAAAAAAAAAAAAAAAAAAAACATTATCAAAGCACCCCATATTTATTCCTTTTAGCTATACAGAAAGGTCTATCAAAACCCACACTGCTCAGACAAGGATAAAAATAAATCACAATTCATGTTATTAACATTTCAAGTTTGCTTTAAAATAGGCTGTACAGGTAATGCATTTGGTTTAAGTAAAATTTTAAACGCATACATTGTTAAGAGAACTTCAGAGACTTGTTATTCAGATTAATTTCCATCTTCTAAAGAAGTCAGGAATGACTTGACCTATCAAAAGAAAAAAGCATATTTATTATTTGGTACATTAAAACTAAAGTACCAGGCTTTTCCCTTTATTTGGGAAGAAATTGTCCAGTGTTTTTTTTTTGTTTTTTTTTTTTTTTGCCCCGTATTGAATTCACGAACTGAAATACATGTGGCCTTTCAGAGGGGCAAGGTATGTCTGAGTGTCTGCTCAAAACGAAGCTATTAATTGCTGGCTTCCATAAAGATGTAATGCCAAATACCTCCACAATTGATCATTGCTCCCCTTCCCGGTTCTAAATAAACCTTCCCTGTTTATTTAGAGCTGTTTAATTGAGGGAATTAGTCTTGTCTTAAAGGAGTCATTCTCCAGTAATCTCAAATTGATGACCCAGAGCAAGATGAAAATGGTTTATAGGGAGAGCTAGGAGAGTACTTCCTCATGCTTGTAAGTATTAGATGGAGGTTTTTTCCCCCATGACTGGCCAAACAACACCAGAATTTCTTCTGGCATTTACTTCCCAAGTCTTGCCTTCCTTTGGAATTGGTAAACACCATTTTGACTGAAGTGATCTCTTTAGTCCCACCTTGTCTCCTCAAATGGCTAACTCTCCCTCCCCACTCTGTTTGGAAATGCCACTGCATGCATGATAACTGCAGAAGAGCAGATACAAATCCCCCAATACTTTATACTTACTTTATCAATCAGGTACTCTTGTTTAATTTTATCATTCTTAAACTCTTCATTAACATCCAAAACAAGAATAGGAATCTCCTTGATGTTCTCAAAATCAACTCTGTTGGAAGAACATAATTTTAGTAAAACCTACACAAAATACTGTGCTTTCAAGACCCCTGCTTTTGATTACTACATGGACCCAAAATGTTGAAGCTGATGCTCATAACTTAAACATAAAGCCCATGCCAAGTTCGTCCTTAATTGCTCTTTATATATTTCACAAATCTGGACTCTTAGTATTTAACTGTAATGTACAAGTGGGGGGCAAAAATAATTTTTACCTTAATTTCCTTTATCTTCTTGTCATGGAATCAGTTACCAGGAACTGATTTTGTAATTGTAAGATAAGAGTATTTTTTTTCGAAATCTCCTTTTCCCTGTGTCTCCCCCACTTAATCCACTTATCAAGATGCAATTTTACACCTTCCTTTCATAAGGATGAGCCCTTTATATAAAACTGGTGCTTAGAACATCTTGGACCGTAAGCAAGACCATTTTGGCCGTCTTTCTGAGTGTGGAAGGCATTTCTAAAACACAGTACGTGTGCTGAACAACATTTTAACTTGTGCTTCCACACTTAAATTCTTACTACAAACACAGGAAGTGCTTGCTTACCGAGTTTGGAATGTGTACACAACATAAACATTCCCAAAGTTCCACACTATGCACTGTCTTCTAAGCATTTGGGTCATCTTATGTGAATCTTCAGCAAGAGGATCAAATTGATAATGTACTTTTCCTAGAATTGTAGTGCTTCTCCTTCAGTAGAATATTTTGGACTCCTCTAGGGAAAAATCTAGAGTCTATTGTCATGTTTAGAGATTCTTAAGATGGGAAAGCCAGTAAGAGTCACAAAGGAGCTTAAGGGAACATGTGCAGACATCACTCAGTTGCTAATTAGGTTTCTTGTGTGTAACAGGTATAATAAATAATAAAAAATAATCAAAAACCTTGATTATTGTTTAAATCTAAGGTAGGATTAATATTTAAACTTGGTTGAAATACAGTCCTGGTAGTTTAAATATAGTTGAGGCTTTTTTTGCCCCTTATATTGCAACAGAAATGAAACTGGGTTCCTACCTCATAGTCCTTTCATGAAGCCAGGTTTCATGTTTATAGTGGAGGTTTTCCAAATACTCAAGCTCAATTCCTTGCTCCTCTCTTCTTCCCCTCATCTGTAGCCTTTCCATACATTTCTGGGGGGGGAAAAAAAAAGTATAAACCTGGTCATTAATCATGTGTTGTAGGTTAAATCAGCTAAACGGATCAAGTGGCCCTTAACTTGGAAGGACTAATGCTAGACATTAGTGAGCATTAATATTAAATTCCTGGCTGAACATAAACGAGTTAAGTCTAGAATAACTTTTTCGTATCCTCTTAAGCCTCTGGAAAATTAAATTGGAACTGAGAAATGTCCATTTTTAGTTAGCATACCTGAGGTGTGGTTCTGAGATATATCATGCCATCCAGTTCTATATCTGATTGAAACTGATTCAAAAGCCATGTGTGCCAGTCCTGATAAATAGACCACTCTGTTTCATTAATATTTCCAGACTCGAACAGGTTAGAAGCAAACACATACCTGCAATGAAAGACATCAGTCTCATGCCAGGAATGATGAAAGTGAACTACCAAAACACTTGTAAGCAGAATGATGGTATTGAAAAAAATGCCTTAATCAAGCCTGCTCCATTGTAGGTATTAGTTTAAATATCAAGTGTTTCCTCAGCTCCATGTCTTTAAAGACCTGGAAATCATAATATGAGTTGTTGCTGTCCTGTGAGAATAATTACCTGTCACTGTACACAGATCTTTCGAAAAATTGCACTGGATGTTCTGCTTCGTATAGCTTGGCTGAGACAGGTTTTAATTGTGCTTTTACTCGGCTCAAGCAAGCATAAGTTTGAAATGTGTAAGCCCATCTTGTGGGTTTATCATACAGCATTTGAAGTAAGTTTCCTCCACTCTTCTGAGATGTTGAAAGTTCCTAGAAGGCAAGAGAAAAAAGTTTAAATAAGAATTCATGGCTTTCTTCTTATTACTAAGAAAAGGCTTAGGCATAGGACCTGAGAGACTCTTTTTCCTCAGGTGATGGTGGTTTTCATGGCAGCTTCTTTGAGTTCCAGATTTTAGTGCGATTCCTGTGGAGTAGGGGATGTGATTTGGAATATACATCAGTAGTATCTTGCCTTCACAATTTGAATGCCTGACCAACTGTGGTATGATAGTGGGGATAGTCTGCATCTAGCTGATGCAGACTAAGTATAGCTGAATTTTGGCATAGCTCCCTGGCTGTGGAACTCCCTGCAGTTTCTTCAGGTCTGAATCCAGCGCACCTACCTCATACTCATCCTCGGCTGTCTGGATGTTGCACCACTTAGCGATGGGCTCGGGGATGATCTCCCACTCATCGCTGTGTTTCTCCAGCAGCCTGACGAACGTTGACTTCCCCGCAGCTGCGGAAGATTAGAGCAGTTCACAAAGGGGTGGGGGTTGATTGCTCTGGTGCTGCTGGCGGACAGGGCCAGTTTGAGGGTTTGTTAGCATCTGTTGCAGCGCGGGGGCGGCCGGGTGCGCCGTGGAGCAAAGTGCGCTGATCTTTCTCGCCAGAGGGGCCGCGCCCGGCCCGGCGGGCGATAAGGGCGGCCGAGGAGCAGCCGACATTTTAGAGCTGCCGTGGCGGGCGGAGCTTAGCGGGGAGAGCGAGGGAGCGGCCGCGCAGGCGCTGGGACTTGGCGCGGGCGGGCGGGAGCGAACAGTGCTGCAGCCCCGGACGGGCCGCGGAGGGGGTGGGGGTGTGCAGGGGCACCGGGGGTTTGTGCTCCCGAGCCCGTCCTGCCCCTCGGTGTAACTGACGGGCACCCGGCTCGGGGAGCTCCCCATCCGCCCCAGCCTAGCTCCGGGTTCATGTCCCGGTGCTATTCTCCCTGCAGAGCCCCCCGCTGCTCGCAGAGCCGGGGGGACAAGCGCCGCAGCCGCTCACTCTCCTCCGGCGTCCCAGCCCCTTGGGGCTCTCCTGGCCTGACACCTCCCCCTTCCCCTCTACTACCCTGAGCCGCCTCCCGCACCGCCGAGCTCACCGATGTTCCCCTCGATGGAAATCTTCCTGAGGCGCTTCTGGAAGCTGGATTCGAGGGAGCCGGCGGGGCTCTGGCAGTGCCGCTTGGCGGGGGTAGACATGGCGGTGCCGAGCGGGAACTCAAGGGGTTCCCGGCTGCTCCCGCGCACTTTAAGCGTCCCGCCAAGCGGGTGGGCGGGATGGCCGCTTCCCGCCAGCCCTCCCTGGGAAGAGGCGGAGGCGCTGCCCCCTCCCCCGCCGCTCCTGCCCAGCTCCTGCCGCCGCGCTCTTACAAAATGGGCGTTCGGCAAGTGAAATGGAAAAGAGAGCTTTGTGCAGGAAGTTACTGTAGCACTGTTCCACTTACTGATCTAATTTGCATTTCTGTAAACGAATTCGCCATGTTGTTTGATTTACTTACGTAAACTTGAGCATGCACTTTAAAAAAGTCAAAAAGCCTCCAGCTATGGGGGTGGGGTGGTTGTTAGTAGTTTGGAACATTTAATGAGATGAGGTGATGTAGCCTCACAGTCTGTTTTGGTACTGGCTGGAGAAGAAACACTCGTGGATGAATGGTGTTCATCCGGAGACTATTCAGAGCAGCTTCTGGGTTCCAAATCCCTATGTCGGGGCTTTAGGAGCCTGCTTAACTTAGGCATGGGTTCTCTATCAACAGTGTAGACAAGTTGAAACATGAGCTGGTGATCCAAGGGGAAGGGGGATGGAGGATTCTTAGATTATGAGTTACTTAAATTTCCTCCTTCCTCCTCGGTAATACAAGGTGAAATCTAGCTAGGTCTGGTGTGTTTGGAGGAAATGGGAGGGAATTAACTTTTCAGTTATATTATGATAATTGTGACCCATTGTCTCTTCTTTCCCCATCTCCTCCAAACACACCAGGCTTCAGTGACCGAAGCGAGCAGATTGTTTCACGTGGGGTAGCGTCAGCCTTTGAAGCTGGTAAGTGCTAGTTCGCACACGCGGCGTGTGCAGCCGGAGCGCTCCGCGGTCCGCGCCACGCGGGAGCGGGGCCGGGGCGGCGGCGCGCGGGGCCGGGGCTTTGTTCGGCGCGGCGGGCGGGCGGCGCGTGCGCACAGGCGGCGCGCGGGGTCTCGGGGGCGGGGCCGGGCCCCACCGGGGCACACAACCCCCCGGCCATGCCGCGGCTCGGCGAAGGCTCGCGGTGCCCTCTCGTCACACGGCCCTCCCTGCCAACCGCCTGCGGGCGTTGCGCCATCGCCGGGGGCCGCCAGGGCGGCGTCTGGGACCGCGCTCTTTGTGCGGAGGAAGGCCCGGCCCAGCGGAAGCACCCGCCGCCATTTCCTAGCGCGCTCTCGCTACAGGCTCGCCCGCTCGCTGCCGCCTGCCCGGGACTAGGCGCTCTCCGGAGAGTGGATCAGGCTCGGAGCCCTAGAACCAGCACGGAGCCCCACCATGTGTGCGTGCGGGGAAGGGGCAGGGCACGGGCCGGGGGCGGGAGCGGCGCCGTGTTTGTGAGGCGGCAGCGCCCGAGGCAGAGGAGGATCAGGGAGGGCCGGGGCACAGGCCAGGGGGGCCGCCGGGCGCTCTGAGGGGGTGCGGGTGGCGGCCGTGCTGAGCCGCATCTCAAAGGGCCCGTTCTGATCTTTCCAGCAACCACAGAAGCGGAGACAGAGCAGAGCCTCACCCCCAATGTGATGCTTAACACAGAGAGCAGCGAGGGATATGTGGTGAAAGTCCGGGGGCTGCCTTGGTCTTGCTCCACCGAAGAGGTGCAGAGGTTCTTCTCTGGTAAGTGGGGTTGTGGGGGAATAAGAGGTGTGGGAGAGGGGTTGGGCTCTGCTGTCAATTCTGGGTCCCTCCCAGGGACACTTTGGCAGTGGGAGTGCTGTAGTGAGCAGTTGCAGGAGGCATTCAGTAGCCAGCGCAGTTTGTAGTGCAACAAGTGCTTCAGCCAGAACCTGGGATGCAAAGCCATGTTCATGCTAGCAGGAGCTTCGTCTGAGTTGCTGGGATAGCCATAAATGCCTTTACTGCTTGAGCAACCAGGGGAGAGAAGGTTAAATTTTAAAGAAAGTTCAACCCGAAGCATGAATTTTAAAGCTAAATCAGTTTAGTTCTTGTATTGTCCCAATAGACTCGTGTCTGTTGGGACAATGCAAGTGTTCAGTCTTTGTATCCTTGCCCAAATTATTAGCATTCTTCAGTAGTAAATAGTGGTGATAAATAAATGCTTTCTGTAGTGACTGGATCTTTTAAAACTGCTTCAGGAATATGATGTATTGGACTTGGTTCTGATTTAGGTTATTACACTTATTGTTACTATTCCTATTTCGTGCTAATAAGAAAGTTAAGATCAAAAGCTGTGTATGTTCAATTTGAGGCCGAAAAGCTTTGTAAATAGCTAATTTGCAATTATCCTTTATCTGTAGGTTTGACTAGAATGGTAACTTTATTTAGTGTCTTAGTTAGTTGGCCATTTTAAAGTTACAACAGGAATGCTGCTGGTTTTGTTGTCATAGTATAATTGATACTCAGCACATTTTTGGTTTTAGGCTGAAACTTTCAAAGTAACACTGTTCCTATAATAATTAATGTAATTCTGGTCTTTCTATTTATTTTCAGATTGCAAAATTCTGAATGGGGCTTTGGGTATCCGTTTCATCTACACCAGGGAGGGCAGACCAAGTGGAGAAGCATTTGCTGAACTTGAGTCAGAGGAGGATGTGAAATTGGCCTTGAAAAAAGACAGAGAAACAATGGGACACAGATATGTTGAAGGTTTGACTCAGTCGGTCTAGTAACTGACTACAATGTGTTTGTGCTTGACGGGTTTTGGTTAATTGCATTTTTTTGTCTCCTTAAAATGCATGTGAAAGGACAAATGGACTTGCATATCATAAGTTGACTAGTTTCAAGGCAAATGACTTTAAAAACTCTTCCTTTCTCCAGAATGCATTAATTCTAAGTGCCTTTTACAGTTTTCAAGTCAAACAACGTTGAAATGGATTGGGTTCTGAAGCATACTGGTCCCAACAGCCCTGATACAGCTAATGATGGTTTTGTACGTCTTAGAGGACTCCCATTTGGCTGTAGTAAAGAAGAAATTGTACAGTTTTTTTCAGGTATGTGGGATAAAAGTAGTAGCTGTAGCACTATTGGTTTATGCTAAAAATACCCCAACAAACCAAACAGGCATGGATTGCCCAGTAGTACATCCAACAGTATTATCATGGGTATTAAAAGTAAATAAACCAATTCTTCACTAGTTTTCTGGGCATGAGGAATCCTTTGGATTGCATCCTAAAATACTTGATAATTAAATAATTTAGGGAATGCCAAAAAAGTGCTTGAATTTATACTTGGTGGAACATGCTGTTCCAAGAAAGAATTACAGAAAAGTATCTTGTTTTCCAAATAAAGCTGAACAGTTCATGTGGCAGTCTACTTCCACCCCCAGCCTTGGATGATTGGCCCTGGTCAGTGAAGGATGTAGAACCCTCTCACCACTGGGCTCTGTGTGAGGAGCAGGCTCTCAGTAAAGGCCCATGACCTCTTGCCAATATAGAGCTAGTATTGAATGAAATGCAGAGAAAACCCGCTGAACTCCACCCAAATACATATTTACAGATTTGACCCTTTCTCTTCCTATGGGGATAAAAAACCCACCAGACCCTTGATGTTGCCTAGCTCAAAGTTTTTATGGATGAAGAGATAATGTTTTGTTTTGACTAATTTTTACTTTTTTGCAGCTGTTTTATGTTTGCAAACTGGAATTAAGACTGTTAAAATGTCTAAGAAAGGAATCTGTTGATTGTTTAGGATTTCACTTGTTATTATTTTCAAAATATTAGATTTCTAAATGTTTTGCTATTACAAGATATGATTAAGCTTGATATTTTGCTTTAAAATACAGTAGAAACATTTCCAGTTTTACAATCTCAACTTGTTTTTTTTTGTTTTCTGAATTGGTGATATGAACAAGAGCAGTTTCTAAGCATGTGCATTTTAAGCTTTTTTTTCTTACATGGTGAAGTAATTCAAGCTTTATAAGTTGTTAATGTGCTTGATATATAAAATGTGTCTCTTCTCTTCAGGAACTAATACTTAAAAATTACTTCATGATTTTTTTCTTAATTAAGCACTCTTAAAGATAAAAAAATGCTGAAATTTGATGTTTGCATAAGACTATTTTACGTGAGTGACTTCTGGTAAAATTACTTATTCTATATAAAGCTGTTTAACTTACTGTGTTTGAATTTTAAGTTCTCTTTAAAAGTTCATCTTAAATACTTTCACAGAATTGATAAGGTCTGTAATAATGTGTGAAGTTCTTAACGCATCCTGCATTAGATGCCTTCTCTGAGGGGCTGTCCCTGACCCTCTGAGCATTTCTGAGCTCTGCAGGGTGGGTTAAGAACCTGAATTGAATGGTATGTAATCATGGAGCTCTTTGTTGATGTGCCTTTTTTATTCTGGTGTTCTAGAATCAACATACCATTCACTTAAGTGTTTAAATTCTGGTGTTTTTAAAGCTATAAGAAAAAACTCATGACTGGGCTTGTGATGTTAATATTGCCCCCCTACTGGGGTTATTTGTCCTTGGGTTGAAGGGTTGGAAATCGTGCCAAATGGGATAACATTGCCGGTGGACTTCCAGGGGAGGAGTACGGGGGAGGCCTTCGTGCAGTTTGCTTCACAGGAAATAGCTGAAAAGGCTCTAAAGAAACACAAGGAAAGAATAGGGCACAGGTGGGGATGGATGGTTGGTTGGCTCTGTCACTTTTCTTATGGTAAACAATTAAATCCATATTCTCTCTTCTGAAAGTGTAAACACCCAAATCAAAATAGTATTGTGGTCTCTAACTTGGTGATGGTTAAAGATATTGATTGCTACAGTGTATGTGGCACAGACTGTTTAGATCTACCCAAAAATACTAGATAAAATTGGGCTAAACTAAAATGTGCATTGGAAAATGAGTAATAACAGGCATTCAAAACTATAGCTTGAAAATGACAAAGTTGAGAGACTATGGCTTTAACTTCTCAAATAGCACCAATTCTGCCTTTAGCTCTAAAGACATGCACAGTATTCTTACTACCATAAGAAAATGTGATACTTTCTAAACTTGTTTTATAAGTTGAAATGTAACAAATTTACTTAACTTGTATTAATCTTCAATGTAATAAGCATAGCTTTCAAGAAATTGTCACAAAGGGTTTTTATTTATTTTACTTGTGACTATTTTTCATTGAAGCATGCACCTTTTGCCTATGCTGAATCACTGAAGCATAGGCTGGGTTCAGTAGTACATGCAGAGCTTTTTGTGGCATCCTGATGGGTTAAACTCTTGGTGGAGATCGGGTTTTTAACCCTCTGTTTCTGTTGCCTTGAGCAACAGTGCTGAGTTGAGTGGACACTGGTCCCTCCTACATTGTTTGACTAACAT